CCCTCACCTGCACACACCTGTCCCTCACCTGTCCCCCTCACCTGTCCTCCTCACCTGTCCCCCTCACCTGTCCTCCTCACCTGCCCCACTCCCCTGTCCCCCCTCACCTGTCCCACCTGTCCCCCTCACCTACACACACCTGTCCCCCCTCACCTGTCCCCCTCACCTGTCCCCCTCACCTGCGCACACCACTCCGGCGTCCTCGCTGTGCTCACAGGTGTGCACTCCCCACCCTTTGTGGCGGCACTCGGAGGGCGCGGCCTCCTCACCTGTGCAGGTGAGCCCGTCCAGCCACACGGGGCCGCGGCCGGGCCCGAAGCGCGCGCGGGGCGGGGCCGCGATCACCTGTCCGCAGCCCAGGTAGCGGCACACCACGGCGGCCGCGGGGAACGCCCAGGTGTCGTCGCACACCGTGCCCCACCTGCCCAGGTGTAACACCTCCACACGGCCCGCGCACCTGCCCGGCCCCGAGGCCAGGCGCACCTGGGGGGGCGTGGCCAGCGCAGAGCCTGGGGGAGGGGGAGGGGCTCAGGTGAGAGCTGGGGATGGGGGTCAGGTGAGAGCTGGACAGGTGAGGGGAGCTCAGGTGAGAGCTGGGGGGGGATCAGGTGTGACCTGGGCAGGTGAGAGGGGTCAGGTGAGAGCAGGTGAGGGGGGTCAGGTGAGAGCTGGGCAGGTGAGGGGTTCCTGGTGAGAGGAGGGGAGGGGGGGGATCAGGTGTGACCCGGGCAGGTGAGGGGGGCTCAGGTGTGGGCAGGTGAGGGGTTACAGGTGAGAGGAGGGGAGGGGGGGGATCAGGTGTGACCCGGGCAGGTGAGGGGGGGCTCAGGTGAGAGCCCAGCTTACCTGGGGAGAGGGGCTGAATTTGGACAGGTGAGAGGATGGGGAGGGGGATCAGGTGACACCTGGGCAGGTGAGAGGGGTTTACAGGTGGGGGGAGGGGAGAGGGCTCAGGTGTGACCTGGGCAGGTGAGGGGGGCTCAGGTGAGAGCAGGGCAGGGGTTACAGGTGTGGGCAGGTGAGGGGGGCTCAGGTGTGGGCAGGTGAGGGGTTACAGGTGAGAGGAGGGGAGGGGGGGGTCAGGTGTGACCTGGTCAGGTGAGGGGGGCTCAGGTGAGGGCCCAGCTTACCTGGGGAAGGATTTGGGGAGGGCACCTGATGGGAACAGGTGAAGTGGGGTGGGGGGGAGAGGAGCTCAGGTGAGGGGTTACAGGTGTGACCTGGGCAGGTGAAGCTCTCAGACCCACCTGAGCACACCTGGCCCATCCCCCCCCACCTACATCAACCCCCCGCAGGTGAGGATGACGTCACACACCCTCCGCAGGTGAGGATGACGTCACACACACACACCGTAGATTATGATGACGTCACACAGACACACACGCAGATGAGGATGACGTCACCCCCCGCAGGTGATGATGACGTCACACCCACCTGAGCACGCCACTCTGGCCACGCCCCCCTGGTCGCAGGTGCGCTCCCGCCAGGGCCCCGCCCTGCAGTGCCTCAGGTCCCTCTCGGTGCCTTCGCAGCTCACCTGCTCCAGCCACACCTGCCCAGGTGCGTCCCCAGGTGCGTCCCCGGGGGCGTCCCCAGGTGCGTCCCCAGGTGCGTCCCCGGGGGCGTCGGCCAGGGGGGTCCCGCAGCCCAGGTACCTGCAGACCACCTGAGCCTCCCGCGGGCCCCAGGTGTGGCCGCAGACCCCGGCCCACCTGTCCAGGTGCAGCAGCTCCACCCTCCCCGCGCAGCGATGCCGGCCCCCGGCCAGGCGCAGGTGAGGCGGCTCCGGCTCCAGAGAGTCTGAAACACCTGAGCTCGTCAGGACAGGTAACCTGGGCACCCCCAGGTAACCCCCAGGTAACCCCCGGTGTTCCTGGATAACCCCAGGTAACCCCCAGGTAACCCCAGGTACCCCCAGGTAACCCCCAGGTGTTCCCCAGGTAACCCCCAGGTACCCCCATGTAACCCCCAGGTGCTCCCCAGGTATTCCCAGGTAACCCCCAGGTGTTCCTGGATAACCCCAGGTAACCCCCAGGTACCTCCAGGTGCTCCCCAGGTGTTCCCCAGGTAACCCCAGGTCGCAGCTCCTCCCCCCACAGGTGAGCACAGCTGTCTCTATCTGCACACAGCGCACCTGGGACACACCTGAGCACACCTGAGCCACACCTGTGACACACCTGAGCACACCTGAGCACACCTGAGCCACACCTGTGACACCTGAGCACACCTGAGCACACCTGAGCCACACCTGAGCACACCTGAGCACACCTGAGCCACACCTGAGCCACACCTGTGACACACCTGAGCACACCTGAGCCACACCTGAGCACACCTGAGCCACACCTGAGCCACACCTGTACATGCTCACTGGTGCTCACCTGTCCCCTCACCTGTCCCCTCACCTGTCCCTGCTCACCTGTCCGTGCTCACCTGTCCCCACCTGTCCCACCTGTCCCCTCACCTGTCCCCACCTGTCCCACCTGTCCCCTCACCTGCGCACACGGCCCCCGCGTCCTCTCCATGGAAGCAGTCGTTGTGTCCCCAGGGCTGGGCGTGGCACTGGCCCAGGTGAGTCTCGTTCCCGGCGCAGGTGACGTCGTCCAGCCAGATCTCACCTGAGCCCCGCCCGAACTGCGCCGCACCTGGCGCCCAGAGGGCGGGGCCGCAGCGCACCTGGCGGCAGCTCACCTGCGCGTCCGGCAGCTCCCAGGCGTCGTCGCACACCGTGCCCCACCTGCCCGCGTGGAACACCTCGACGCGCCCCGCGCACCTGTGCGGGCCCCCGGCCAGGCGCACCTGGCCCTCCTCGGGCGCACCTGGGACACGCAACGGGGACAGGTGAGCTCGGCTGGGGGGGACAGGTGTGGCACAGGTGTGTGCTGGGTGTGTCCGGGTGTCCCCAGCTGTCCCCAGCTGTCCCCAGGTGTACCCAGGTGTACCCAGGTGTACCCAGCTGTCCCCAGGTGTACCCAGGTGTGTCCCAGGTGTACCCAGGTGTGTCCCAGGTGTCCCCAGGTGTCCCCAGGTGTGTCCCAGGTGTCCCCAGGTGTCCCCAGCTGTCCCCAGGTGTCCCCAGGTGTGTCTCAGGTGTGTCCAGGTGTGTCCCAGGTGTCCCCAGGTGTGTCTCAGGTGTCCCCAGGTGTGTCCCAGGTGTCCCCAGGTGTGTCTCAGCTGTCCCCAGGTGTCCCCAGCTGTGTCACCTGCCCAGGTGCGTTCCCTGCCCGAGGCCACCCTCCCCTCACCTGAGCGTGGCTGGCCCTGCTCACCTGAGCACAGCACACCTGGGGAGAGGGAAAGGACAGGTGAGGGGACGGGGGAAAATCGGGAAAAATCGGGAAAAGTCAGGAAAATTGGGAAAAATTGGGAAAAATTAGAATCAATTGGGAAAAATTGGGAAAAAATTGGAAAATTAGGAAAAATCAGGAAAAATTGGGAAAAATGGGGAAAATTGGGAAAAAAATAGGAAAAATTGGGAAAAATTGGGAAAAATTGGGAAAAATTGGGAAAAATTAGGAAAAATGGGGAAAAATTGGGAAAAATTAGGAAAAATGGGGAAAATTGGGAAAAAATTGGGAAAAATTGGGAAAAATTAGGAAAAATTGGGAAAAATCAGGGAAAAATGGGGAAAAATGGGGAAAATTGGGAAAATTGGGGAAAAAATTACGTAAAATCGGGAAAAATTAGGAAAAATCAGGAAAATTTGGGAAAAATTGGGAAAAATTGGGAAAAATTGGGAAAAATTAGGAAAAATTGGGAAAAATCAGGAAAAATTGGGAAAAATTGGGAAAAAATTAGGAAAAATGGGGGAAATTGGGAAAAAATTAGGTAAAATTGGGAAAAATTAGGAAAAATTGGGAAAAATTGTGAAAAATTGGGAAAAGTTGTGAAAAATTAGGAAAAATCAGGAAAAATTGGGAAAAATTGGGAAAAAGTGGGAAAAATTAGGAAAAATGGGGAAAAATCAGGAAAAATTGGGAAAAATGGGGAAAATTTGGAAAAATTGGGAAAAATTGGGAAAAATTGGGAAAAATTGGGAAAAATTGGGAAAAATTAGGAAAAATGGGGAAAATGGGGAAAATTGGGAAAAAATTAGGAAAAATCAGGAAAAATCAGGAAAAATTGGGAAAAATTGGGAAAAATTGTGAAAAAATTAGGAAAATGGGGAAAATTGGGAAAAAATTAGGTAAAATCGGGAAAAAATAGGAAGAACCAGGAAAATTTGGGAAAAATGGGGAAAAATTGGGAAAAATTGGGAAAAATTGGGAAAAATTAGGTAAAATCGGGAAAAATTGGGAAAAACTGGGAAAAACTGGGAAAAATTGGGAAAAAATTGGGAAAAATTGGGAAAAAATTAGGAAAAATCAGGAAAAATCGGGAAAAATTGGGAAAAATTGGGAAAAAATTGGGAAAAATGGGGAAAAATTGGGAAAAAATTAGGTAAAATCGGGAAAAATTAGGAAAAATCAGGAAAAATTGGGAAAAATTGGGAAAAGTTGTGAAAAATTAGGAAAAATCAGGGAAAATTGGGAAAAATTGGGAAAAATTGGGAAAAATGGGGAAAAATCAGGAAAAATTGGGAAAAATGTGGAAAATTTGGAAAAATTGGGAAAAATCAGGAAAAATTAGGAAAAATCAGGAAAAATTAGGGAAAATTAGGAAAATTTAGGAAAAATTGGGAAAAGGGGGAAATCTGGGAAAAAGGAGGGGGAAAACCAAAAAATTGGGCAATATGAGTGGAAAATTGGGACAAATGGGGAAAAAAGATGGGAAAATGGGGAAAAATTGAGAAAATTGGGGGAAAAGGGAGAAATTTGGGAAAATGTGGGGAGAAAGAGGAGGAAAATTGGGGAAAATGAAGAAAAATGGGGGGAAATGGGGAAAAATGGGGAAAATTGGGGGGAAATTGGGAAAATTGTGGGAAATGTGGGAAAAAGGAGGGGAAAAATTGGGGAAAATCAGGGGGAAAGGGGGGAAAATTGGGGGGAAAAGGGGGAAAAATGGGAAGGGAGAAGGGGGGAGGGGAAAAACGGGGAATTCTGGGGGGAAAATTGGGAAAATCGGGAAAAGCCGAAGGTCGCCCCTGGTGGCGCAATCCCGGGAATGCGCCAAAATCCGGGAATTTGCCCCCAAAAATCGATCCCGGCCTCAAAGGACGAGGCCGCCCCTGAATTCCCAGAAAAAAGGGGCGGGAATGGGGGAAAATCCCGAATTTTGGAGGGTTGGGAATGACGGGGGAAGGGAGGGGGGAGGGGAAGGGGGGATTTGGGGAGAATTCCGGGATTTGGGAGGTTAAAAAATGGTGATTTTTGGGTTAAAATCGCAGAATTTGGGGAGAAAATCTCGAAATTCGGGGCCAAATCCCAAAATTTTAGGGGAAGTCTTTTCCTTTTGGGGCCAAAAATGTCGATTTTGGGATCAAATCCTTCGATTTGGGGATCAAATCCTTCGATTTTGGGATCAAATCCCACAACTTTGAGGTCAAATCCCACAGTTTTGGGGGCAAATTTCCTCCATTTTGAGGTGAAATCCGACAATTTTATGGAAAATCCCTGGAATTTCGGGTAAAACCTGAGGATTTGAGGGCAAAAAAGGCAATTTTGAGGTAAAATTCCACAATTTTGGGGCAGAAGCTTCAAATTTTGGGGGAAATTTCTGAGACTTGAGGCCAAAATCATCGATTGGGGAGGCAAAAAAATGAGGATTTTTTGGGGGCAAAATCGGCCAATTTGGGGATAAAAAATGTCGATTTTTGGGCAAAGTCGCTGCGTTTTGGACCTAAATCCCACAATTCTGGGGGAAATCCCTCGATTTTTGGGGAAAACCCTCAATTTCAGCCCTAAATGTCTCCATTTTTTGGGATAAAATCCTTTCATTTCAGGCCTAAATCCCTCAAATTTTTGGGATAAAACTCCTCAATTTTCTGAGCTAAAATCCCTCAATTTTAGCCCCAAATCCCTCAATTTTTTGGGGTCAAACCCCTCAATTTTGGCCCCAAATCCTTCAGTTTTTTGGGATCAAATCCTTCCATTTTATCCCCCAAATCCTTCAGTTTTTGGGGGGCCAAATCCTTCAATTTTGGCCCAAAATCCTTCAATTTTTCGGAATAAAATCCCTCAATTTTTTGGGACAAAATCCCTCAATTTCGGCCCCAAATCTCTCAATTTTTTGGGGTCAAATCCCTCAATTTCTGCCCCAAATTCCTCAAAGTTTTGGGATCAAATCCCTCGATTTTTTGGGATCAAACCCCTCAATTTCGGCCCCAAATCCTTCACATTTTTGGGACAAAATCCCTGAATTTTCTGAGATAAAATCTCCCAGTTTCGGCCCCAAATCCCTCAATTATTTGGGATCAAATCCCTCAATTTCTGCCCCAAATCCTTCAAGTTTTTGGGACAAAATCCTTCCATTTTCTGGGATAAAAACTCCCAGTTTTGGCCCCAAATCCCTCGATTTTTTGGGATCAAATCCCTCGATTTTTTGGGATAAAAACTCCCAGTTTCGGCCCCAAATCCCTCGATTTTTTGGGATCGAGCCCCTCAATTTCGGCCCCAAAATTCCTCAATTTTTGGGGGGATCAAATCCTTCCGTTTTTTGGGGTCAAATCCCTCAATTTCTGCCCCAAATCCCTCAATTTTTGGGGATCCCCCCCCCCCCTAACCCTA